ACGGCGTCTTTTATTCGTTCCACTGGGGTTTAGCGGGTGTGTTTATAAAGAGACGAAAATTGTTTGGGGACTATCCCCCACGTTCTAGTTGAGATGGTATAACCCAAGAGGCAAAATGACGCTTGCTACTGTTGTTGCGAGTTGCCATTCGTTCTACTAAACCATTAGTCAAACGCCATCATGCCTTCTGTCGTTATTACACAAACAAAAATCTCTTTACTGTTCCTAGTGTTAGTGCCTCAATATGGCTACGCTCGTGAAAGCAATACAACGAACTCAAACGCGTCTTCGTTCAATGTTGTCAACTAATATCCGGATTATGCAAATTTTCCTCAATTCTCCGGAGAAATTTTCATAAAAATTTGAAAAACCCGGAATTCCGGGAAAATCCGGAGGACTTTCATCTCTGAATAAATGGCCTATTCTAAAACCATTTTCATATGTAGGGCGCATCGCATTATAAGGCGCATAAAATAGAAGCCACAGTAGCGGCTGTGGTTGCGTTATGCATCCACTAGATGGAGCTACGCTTAAAGGGAATACAATACAGCTTTATTTATAGAGAGCTTTCACAACAGGCTGCAGCTGTAACAAAGCATTTTACAGAACATTAAAAATACTACGTCCAAGAAATTAGTATAGTGCTCCACATATAACGCGTATCAGATTATAATGTAAACTGTTGGCTTTTGAGAAAATTGAATAATTTTAAGTGTGTCCCATAGTGCGGAAAATTAAGTATTCAAAGCCAACCACGTCGCTTGTGCTTCTCGGCATCCATGAACAAAGACTGATGGTGCATTTTAAAAGCGTCCGAAAACCCCAACCGCAACATTTCATTTAACCTCTTTCTGCAGGCCTTCCAGTTGGGCAGTGAGGCTCTCAATCCTTAAGGTCGACTCTCTCAGCTCCTCTCGGGCAATGCTGGCTGACGCTCCGTTCACTTCAGACAACCGTTGCACGTTGTCCATCTTCAAACACAAACATAAAATTAATGTAGTTTGGTCTTACTGTCACAATGAAAGAGGAAGTGCGCTGGGCTGGTTTCTTCCTGACAAGCAGGAAGTTAAGTCACTGAAGTATTGGTTATGTCAGCTCATTTGCTCATTTCATTCGCCCTGTTGTCAGGGGTTGGTGGCTCTTCACCTTGAGAGACAAGTCCCATCTTAGTTCACGCTGTCCTCTGTGTGCCTATATGAATTGTTTGAGAGAGATCATTTGATGAATTGGGTTTTTTTTCCCTTTTGCAAGAGGATGCTCTACTACTTTGAGTCAGGTAAATCAACTCAACTTGTAAATCAGCACACAGCAAGAGAAAACTGAAACCTTAAAAGAAATGTACATTTACTTCTGCAAAGTCAAAGGTTCTGAAATAATTATAGTCCAATTATTTTGGAGCAATTAGGCAATTGCCTTGTGATTACAAGTTTTTAAAAGGGGAAGTCAAGTCATACCTTTTCTTTACAATATGTTCTATGTGGCCCCAGGAGTCTAAAAATGATATTCTGTGCACCTGTTTTTACCCATCTCAGAGTGCGGCCATTTTGCCACTTGGTTTTGACTGAAAATGACATCACAGTACCTCGGAGCTCAGCTTGCAAAGGTCCAACTCAGAAAACAGGTGAGCCGTGACTGCTCGTTACATGAGCCTTTAACTTTGTGTTGAATCAAAATAAAGTGAAATTATACCTTAACCTACATTTCTTTATACTTTAACAGTGGATAGTACTACAGTGGTACCTCTGCTTACGAGCGTCTCTTCACACGAAATTTTCAAGTTACAAAACCCCTCAACAGGAAAATATTGCCTTTTGTTATGAAAGAAATTTAAAGATACGAAAGGTAAAAATACAGTATGGGCTGCTGCTAGCAGCTCCGAGTTTCCCGAACGCAACATCCTTGTAGCTGCTCTGCCATTGGCTATTACCTAACACCTTCCTGGTATCCCATTGGCTAAGAGTAACCTCGACCGTATGTGTCTGTGTGTGTGGATAGATAGGTGTCTGCAGCGTCCTTGTCGTGCGACCCTGGGCCATGGGGCGTTCCCAATAGTTTGACGTAAATGTGAATCACCCAGAAAAAGTGTTGACCAGTTTGGCAATCGCTCACTATGCTGATGTTTGCCTTGGGACATTTTCAAAAGATTGTTAAAAGCCGACAAAAGCAAATGTCCTCGGATCAGTTCTTTACAAAATGCCAGTCAAAAACTACTTCTGAGAGCGAATATGGACTAAAGAGAGCAAAAAATGATGAGGATGCAGTTAAAAGTTAAATGGCCACATTTTTATTCTTTATTCTTTGTTTTTTACATTATGCATAACTCTCATTTACTGTGCAAGAATCTAATTGTATTGTTACATGTTTTGATGCATTTTTATGCTTAAGAAAACATTTATGTCTGAATTTTGGGGGGGGGGGCTTGGAACGGATTAGGGCATGGAAAACGCATATCTAATTTTCTAGTCAAGAAATTTCTTTCAGAACCAATTAATTTCGTAAGTAGCGGTACCACTGTATATCATAGTGTGTTATATGTTGCCGCTCAGCATCCATTGCGGTCTGTTCATCCTAAAAAGGAGATTCCCCATCTGTAGCCCCTTTTCAAGGTGTCTTATTCTCCCCAAGATAGTCTTGGGTCCATTTATTTATTTTTGTTCAGTTTTTCCTTTCCCTCCTATGGGTTTCAGCTCAGGGGATGCTGTTAATATTTGTCAGCTGTGGGCATGTGAAGCTCTTTTGAGACTCTTATGTGATTTAGGGTTGTATCAATAGATTTGACATGGCTTGACTTGACTTTGAACAACAACGATCAAACTTGTTTGCACAATTTCTCACGTTAGGGCCCAGACAATTAAATAAATGATCTTCAGTTTAATTTCGTGCAATTTTTGCATTCTCAATTTGAAATAATGTGCTCATTTTCAAGAAACGGATCAAACTGTATTTTTTTTCATCCAATTCAGCAAATAATTGATTATTAAAATAATCCTTCGTTACATCCCTGTTCGAAATGAACATTTTTGTGAAAAGTTGAATGAATGAAATCAACAAATCTCATGTATGACGAGTGTCCGTGCAGTGGATCCATACTTTGGCGGCGTAAGTGCTTTCCATGCTATCTTTGTAGATCTTCATCTGCTCCTCATTCTGCACCCTCATGTCTGCTAGTGCCAGACTCAGTTTGGACTCGTACTCCTCTTTGCGCCCAGAATCCACCTCCACCAGACTTGTCTCATACCGCTGCCGTGCTTCCTTCACTTCCTGTAACAAGAAATAAACCCCCAGTAGTCTGCATAACTGACGACCTCATCTTAACTATGGCTTCATTAAGTAAAAAACAAAACAAAACAAACAAAACTGCAATTTATTTTTGAGAAACCTTTGCGCCTGCAGTAAATGTATCTTATACGGTACGACGTAACCCATGTTGGTAGAAGCAGAATGAATTCGAACTCTACAAAACCATTTAGGTGGGCTATTTACAGAAGAATGTGTCCAAACTAATCGAGAGAAGCTTCCTCAAGCAACAAAACAATAACCTAAAAACACACTGCCAACACAATAAAGGACTTAATCAGGGGAAAAAAGGGAAGGTGTCAGACTGGCCAAGTCAATCATCTGACCTTAACACAACAGAGCATGCATTTCACCTCCTGAGGTGGAGACTGAAGGGTGAAACTCCCAGAAACAAACAAGAATTGAAAGAGGCTGCAGCGAAGGCCTGGAAAACAATTTTGAATGAACACTACAACAGTCTTGCGTGAAGTCAATGGATCGCAGACATGATGCAGGTATTGCTCGTCAGGTTTATACCACCAAATATTAAATGTTTTTCACGAAGTTAATGTAATAATTTCTGTTGCAAAATTTGTGGCTCATTTGCAAAGTGGGTGCCTTCGAGCATAGGGCGCTCCGTCCTAGGTTGTTTAACACATCGAAATGTAAAAAAGCATGAAATACAGCTCGAATTCTGAACGTTTGGGTCATCGCCACCTTTTGATCTGAAACCCAAATGTCAGTATACAACAACACACACACACACACACACACACACACACACACACACACACACACACACACACACACACACACACACACACAAAAGGAAATGACATTGCCATTCTCAGGCGTAGGAAAAAAAGTAGTTTGTTTCCGGTAACCCGACCGATTTCTACCTCAAAAAAAAAACTTCACGGTCGGCATTTTTTTCAAACAACCTTCAAATTTAACACACGTCATCATTAGTTCTACCAACAGTTAACATTAGCATTACTACACCTTGTGACGAATGTTTTATTCATAAAGGTACCATGCTACAACCAGTAAATTATAGAATAACCAACACTGTTTCATAATATTTTTCATAGCGATTAGCCTACAAATCTAATGACCAACTTGCCTCGTAATCGTGCCTCTCGCCGTATCTCGCTCTCGTGTTCTGTGCATACATCCCAGGTGAGTTTAGTGATACGCCCTTTGGACGATTCATACGAAAAATCA